CAGCAATGGGGACTGGCGTGTTGCCAGCATCCAGCATCTCTGCGTTGTCGACAATGTCGGCCATGTTGATCTCATTGTTCTGAATGCCGACGATAGGCTCATTCACAGACGGACCCGCCGCTGTTGCAGCCTCTGCAGACATGTCATCTTGTTGTGCTTCGAGGTCCGACTCGCCAGATACAGACAGCTGGTGCCGGATGGAGGGTCGGCGGCGCGTCCGGGCTAGCCCCGCTCTTGGGCTCGTCTGGCGTGCCTGTGGGGCGCTCGGTGTCGTCGGTGACTCTGGTTGGGAAGTGATCTCCCCTTGCAGGGCGGGGAGCATGGAAGGAAGGCGATCCGCATCTCGCACCGGCCGTAGCGCAAACGCGTCAGGTGTTGCTTCCATGGAGGGTAGCGCCGTGACCAATGGCTGGCCGAGGTTGCGGGTGTTGTTGCCGGGAGCGCCAAACAGCTGTGCCCGGCTTTCGTGGCTGCGATGGTGATGGTGGTGGGGAGGTCGGCCGCGTGCAAATGTCGTCCGCTCAGGAGGGGAGCTCAGGGAGAAGGCGGGAATGGGCGTCGCGTCGGCCAAGGGTGCGTCTGTCGGCTGGGGTATCTCAATGGGAGGGGGAATGATGCGCCGTGATCGATCGGCTCGGTGTGAGGAGCTCGACGCAACCTCGCCAGTCCGCGAGGAGTGGTGTCGGCTCGATGCACCGAGACGTGCAGATTTGTGAAACTCAACCTCAGCGCGTGCCCGCATCTTGTCGATGACCTTGATGTAGTTGTCGAGAATGGAGGCGATGACGGGCACCATGTCGGCCTCAACCACACGCGTCCTGACGTTCTCTGAGCCGCGTACGCCAATGTTAAAGATGCATTGGAAGGCGAGGTTCCACTTCCACATGTCCATCATGTCCTTGCTCCGACCCTCCTTGAGGATGCATATCAGGCGTTCGATACCGCCATCGACGGTGAGAATGTCCCGTATGCGGGCCGAGGAGGTTGTGAGGTAGGCGAGGTGGTTGAGCGAGTTGATGAGCGGGAGGGTCGATGTGCAGTCGAGAGCGCGGCGGTCGTAGAGGGCGGTGGTGATGCCGACCGACGCCTTGTTGGCGTTGGGGATGCTAAAGTTGACTTCGCGCATGTTTGGAGCTGTGTGGTGCCGTGGCTGGGTGGATGGGCGGGAGCTGGGTGGTGGAGAGGTGCAGGACTAGTGTCGCATGTGGTGGGCAGCAAACAGGAGGCTTTGGCTGCAGGCTGGGAGCGAGCAAACAGCGGAGCCCGGGGTGAGAGGAGAAGCAGCCAGTTGTTTGTTGATGCTTCAGGCTCGGACGCAATAGAGGGGCCCGTGTGGTGGTGTGCTCAGAGGTGCTCAGATGGTGCTCAGACGGCGCTTCACAGCAAACGTGTGCTCGAGGGCGGAAGGAACCCGACAGCGCGGTGACGACGGACCACAGCCAGACTCGGACGAGACGGGGCTTTCACGGCTGTTGGGGGAATAACCAAAGCAGAGGCCGGTGGAAAGGGATGGTGATGGCGGAGATGAGGCGTGTTTGCTGTTGTTAGGGGGACCAGGATGGCTTCGCTGCCGCTGGCTGGCAGGCAAGAGCGCTCTCTGGCGTCGCAGTGGGGCCGCGCAACACTGGTGTCGTCTGGTGTGTCGCTCTACGGGTAGTGGTGCTAAGGCTGGGCTATGGTATGCTGGATGAGGCTGTCGGCGATGAATGGGATGTAGAGAGGCGGTTCGGGTGAGAGGTCATGGGCAGTGGAGCAGCTAGTCCCACTGTTAAGGATTGGCACCGACCGCCCAGAAGGGTAGCCTCGAACCGCTAATTTCATGCGCTACGGGCAAAAGAGAGCACCGAAATGACTGCCCTCACCTTCAATAGCAATATGGCTGCTTGCAAATGCACCCTCCTCGAGGACCGTCAGCACGTGTAGCGACATGTCACGGGCGCCTGTCCCCGCCGTCCACGAGTCCCTCTACCGCCCAAATTCCCTCACCCCGTCTCCGCCACAGGTGGCGCCCTTGCCTCTGCCTCTGCCAATGCCGTGAACCCTTGAAACTTGTCCCCCCACTGCATTGCCAGCGAACTGTGACTACTCAAGCTGCGTCTGTTGGCGTCTGCATCTTTCGGCGGCACTCGAGGGCTGCGTGGGGCGCCGGCCAGCTGCACGATGCCACCAGGGCTGCTGACAAAGGCGGCCCTCTCTTTGGGCCTCCCATGCGGTGTCACCACTACGGACTCGACGCATCTGACTCAACGTACGAGCAATTCACGCATTTGGGCCCAAATACACTGTGACGGGAGTGAAGTGGTACCGGACAGTTCTGCGGGGTGCACAGGGTCTTTGCAGTCCCGTATTTACACACTGTCCCGTCATGGTGAGGGCCATTGGGCACATGAAACTCGCGCGAAGCTCAGAGGTTGCGACCTCACAACGTGGGCTACACAGGAGAACCGCCAACCACCAGCCAATCCGCGCCCTGCCATATCAATGGCTGCAGCGTTCTATTCTTCACTCTCGTTAACCTGAATAATTAACCCAACTCCATTGCTCCACAGTTTCGGATTTCGGACGCGATGGCCGCCTCTCCCCATGAGACAAAGGTCCAAGACTTCGCATCCGCTCCACCCGCGCCCGACCAGCCAGAGCGCTCTGCTTCAGATTCGGCCGCCCCTCCACATCTGACTATCGATACCCAGTTCGACGAGCAGAGAAGACGCGGCCGCTCGGCAACTGCGACTACGGCGACTGCAGCATCGACGAACCGGGAAGACATCCTCTCCCCTGACCGCTTCTCAGTCGACTCGACCCTGCGCCGACGCATAACGCGATCGCATACCGTCAAGCACTACCAGTCCCCGACGCGCCCGTACCAGCACCAGGAACCCGGCGCTGAGCCCGGTGTCGACACCAAGAACGAGACCGACGGCGCCAACTACCACCACCTCTACGCGCGATGCCAGATTACCGTCGTAGACTTCTCCGACGAAAAGGTCGAGTGCCATGAGCTGGACAACGATACATTGGAGGACTTTCTCAACTACCCAAAGGAAGACTGGGTGGCCTGTCGGTGGATCAATGTCAATGGCCTGTCCTGGGACGTGATTCGTTCCCTGGGAAACCACAAGAACCTGCACAGGCTGGCCATTGAGGATTTGATGAGCACCCAGAGTAGAACAAAGGTGGACTGGTACTCCGATCAGGCCTTCCTGCTCCTGACGCTGTCCAAACTCGTGCGGACGCCCATGGACGAGGACTCCGAGAGCGACTCCGACTCAGATTCCGACGACAGCGAACGACGACGACACAAGGCTCGCTCCCGCTCCCGCTCGCGGCACCCTCAGAAGAAGAAAGAGAAGAAGAAGTCGCTGTACAAGAAAGCGAAGAACCTGCTCTTCCCTAAGAGCGAAGCCAAGAAGCAGGTACGCAAGGATGAGATGATGAGCGCATTGGACAACCTGGAGAAGCAGCTCGACGACACGCCCTTCGAGAAGGTCAAGATATCCACCCCACCCGCCACCACCGCCGTACGCACCCTCCAACGCTACCGTGGCGGTTACAATCTCGACCGAATCGTATACCTAGAGCAGCACTCCGCCCTCACCGAGAAGCACCTGACCGTCAGCGTCGAGCAAGTCAGCATCTTCCTGCTCGCCGACAACTCCGTAATCTCCTTCTTCGAGCACTCCGCCGACGACGTCGAAGATATGATCCTCAAGCGTCTCCGCACCGAAGACACCATCCTGCGCCGCAGCCAAGACAGCAGCATGATCGTCCAAGCCATCATCGACGCCATAGTCGATCTCGCCATCCCCGTCGTAGCCGCCTACGAAGACGCCATGGGCGAGCTCGAACTCGACGTCCTCGAAGACCCCGAGCTGCACCACTCCCAACTCCTCTACCTGCTCACCTCCGAACTCTCAATCCTCCGCAACACCATCCAGCCCATCGTCTCTCTGATCAACTCTCTGCGTGATCACAAGGCTGACCCCATGGCTCAGGCCACCATGATGAGCCAGAGTACCGCTAACCTCGCTACCCGCAAGACCATGACGCAAATCAACATCAGTCCCCTCGCACACACATACCTCGGTGATGTGGAGGACCACTGCATCATGATCACAGCCTCACTTGATCAAATGCGTCGCGCAGCCGACAACCTCATCGATCTAATCTTCAACATGATGGGTGCCTTCCAAAACGAATCCATGAAAATACTCACCGCCGTAACCATCTTCTTCCTCCCGCTTACTTTCCTCGTCGGATACTTTGGACAAAACTTCGAACGCTTCAACGGCGTGCAACACCACTCTGATGCCTTTTTCTGGGTCATTGCTGTGCCTGTTATGGTTGTTACACTACTGGTGCTCATGGCTGATCGTATCTTGCGCAAGATTAGGCATTGGAGTGGGAAGCTGAAGAGGAGGGAGGCGAAGAGAAGGGCTGTGCGGAAGGGGAAGGTTGGGGGGAATGGGATTTTGGGTGATGGGATTGGGTTGAGTAATGGGGTTAGGGGACAGCAGGGGATGCATCATAAGAGGAGGCAGACTATGTATAGTAAGGGGAATATTGGGTCGTTTTAGGTTGTTGGCATGGAGTAACTTTCGGTGTTGTGAGGATGAGGAAGGATCGAGCCCTTTTGGGCGAGCACTGGCGGGCTATTGTATAAAACTTGCATACTGGCATTTTGCGGATTATTTTGATAGACTGTATAGAAGATACCCTATTTCACGCTCGCGGTTGCATCCTAGTGTGTCTGCGCGTCGTTGCTACCACCTAGGCACCAGGGGCGGCTTCCTTCCGGGCGATGGCGTCACGGCGTCATTGCATGCCTTCCCTAGCCATGCAGTCGTCCAACTCACCTGTCCAACTCGCCTGTCCACAACCACAACAACACACTCGACTGACAGAAACAATGCGACGGGCCATCGACACGTCCGCTGGTGGCCTGATCCGCTGCCTCGGTTCGCATATTCGGCCAGACACTTTCATATCATCAACTCCATGAAATGAGGTACCATGGTAGGCACTACCTTTGAAGCTACTACCTAACTGTGCTAATCTTTTTGGTACCCGACTTTTAGGACGCAAGCTTTTCTGCACAGCACAGTCAAGTCTGCTTATTTTTTAAGAAGATTATTATACGTATCGCTATGGACGCCACCAAGAATGGATGGACGAGCGTGAGACCGGAGAGCGATGAAGAGCGATTCGGTATGCGGTCGCAAGAACCGCAAACCGCCTTCGACAAGATCGAAGCCGAGCGTAGCACTATCGAGATCGATCGCGTGCTTTGGGCGTTTTGCCAGTTCGCCGACCTAGACTTCGTGGAGAAATTGGCAGCATCTGATGATGCTTGGAAGCGAGGGACCAATCTTTCGCACGCGGCGATGGATGCCGTAAGGCTCTGGCAACAAAAGCCAGAAGTAAAGAACGACGTCGCATTCTCCAACGCCGTCGTACCCGTCTCTCGCCCCCATACTGCCTCCGGGAAAGCATCGCGGACAAGATCAGGACGAAGTGAGGACGGCCAAGAGGCCAGCCTTGGAAAATCAGCGGTTGTCGCAGCTCGCTGTAAAGATCGAGACGGCAACCTTTGTGCCGTATCAAGGACAAAGGATGCAGAAGCGGTTAGTAAAATCCCTGAACGAATTGTGTGTGAGACAACAACTGACTTCGTACACCCATCTTTAGGCCCACATTTATCCATGGAGCGCATTTAGAGAAAAGCGCCCGGTCCGAGTGACGAGCAGGCCTGGAACCTACATCGACGTTAGTTCACCTACTTTGCAGGTTTCTACGTTGATGTAGGCTGCAGGCCTGCTGAGTTTGCAGTAGCACCTTCAGCGTATCCTCGCGATGTCTGGCGCGACGAAGCTTTCGATGACGACGACGACGGCGACGATGATGCGGATGGCGTGCCTGCTCGGGATGTTGACGGCTGGACCCGACAACTCCCTGAATCACCCTCCGGCTATCAAAGCCCTCCAGCCAACGGGCTAGAGGACATATGCTTTGGTAAATGAGTACGAACACCTTCGTCCTACTGCTCAATGCAGCTCTCGACTTCGCCTATCCTCCTGCCGGCTGTGATACGCAATGCGAAGAATATACCGCGGAATCCTGTCGCGTGGAGTGATGAACTCAGGGCAAAGATTGAGGGCATGGTGGAGAAGTGGCGGGGGCTTCCAGTGTGCTCAGATTGAATCTCCAGCACGATACGGTCAGACCCTTGAGTCAGAGTACTCGCAAAGACCATAATTCAACGATGTTTTTTCAGCCCTTACAAACACCGAACTGCTCCTGACAACCCTTATCCACCGCACAATACGCCTCCTCAATCCCGCAATTCCCGTGCCTACTACAACATTGCCCCGTCCTACATATATACCCCTTCCCCTTTCCCTTCGCCTTATTCCCACACGTCAGATCGGGTGTGATTCTCTCCCATGGAATACTGTCGTCGGTGGTGTCGCACTTTGCGAAGGGTGTTTGGCAGCTCAACTCAGATCTTGTGAGGGGGTATGGGAGGCGGGCGGTACGGTACCATTGTGAAGGTGAGGGTTCGCCGAGACATTCCGCGACGGTTACGGCTACAGGATTACCATCAGCCAAAGGGCATTTGCAGATGCATGAGGGTGGAGTTGACGACTTACTTTGTATACCCCTCTCCTGCACAACAGCAATCATATAATCAATCAGCTCGCCCTGCGTCCAAAGTTCCTGGTCATGCGCCTCAACAATACTATACCCCTTCTCCAGCCCCTCCACAAAAAGCTGCTTTGCCTCACCAACCGTTTCCTTGGCTTGATACTTCCAGTCTTTCGTATTCAGATCCCCGATAATGACATGGTACTCGAGCTCTTTCAGTACACCGAGCGCCTGGCTGTTCACGGACAGCAAGGGCGGGCGCATGTAGTACGGAAAGAAGCCCAGGATATCCATCATGGCGTCTTCGAGTTTGATCATCTCACTGCGTATGGCGGTGGAGGAAAGCGCGGAGAGGTCCTTGTGGCTCCATCTAGATTGACTCTCGATCAGTTGCGTGTTTTTTTGGACATGACTGACCAGTTGGTGAAATGAAGAGAGGGTATGTTCTTACGTATGCGACCCAATTTGGTGACCCATATCGATCATCCGGCGTAGCGTCGCGTTGTGATCGTATATAGTGCCCCTGTTTTCTCCGTTGATGAACCATGTCGCTTTGAAGCCCGCGACTTCCATCCTAGATGAATATGTCAGCGTGAGACATGCACGCCAGACCTTGCGGTCTGGAGGGAATGGGATAATACCTGTCGAGGATGTCGGCAGAGTAAATCCCTGGTCCATCGTCGAAAGCGGGGGCGATGACTCCGGGCGTTGTACACGAGTAGATTTGTACACCAAAGGGGAGTGCGGATGCGGAAGATGTTAGAGTGGTGAGAGCAGCTAGTGCGCCTGTTATGGGACCAATTCTTGGGTCCATTGTTGAAGCTGGTGTGTCGTTTGACAGAGGATGGAAGATTGGATATCTGCGTCTCCAACGTAGGTAGGCTTTGGACGAAGAGGATGAGTAACAGAATAGTTGACTTGCAAGTAAGCCGGCCCTAAACTTTCCCAAGCTATAGCTTATGACATGTGCATCGACATTTCATGTAACATGAGCTAGAAGTTCGTGCTCAGAAAAGGCGTGTACGCGTTGTACGTTCCCACGTGGTCCACGATGATGGCTGGTCCGCAGGGGCCCTCCAGGGCTATATCCAGGTACACACATAGTTGAGTAATCAGACATTGCATTTTGCAAACCCGCTCTTGTGGAGCGTACGCGTGTAAGCAGTAATATCTGAATCGCGGAATCCAGATCTCAAAGTTGACCATCAGCGTCGGCGCTTACATAGGCGATGCTAAGGTTTAATTGTCCCGGCTTGGAGCTGACCGCTACCCGGGATGCGACCAGGATGAACCCGTTTGCTGGAAAGGCTTGAGCGCGATCTACGTACATAGCGTATTGTGAATACTTTACGTTCTGGTTGTAGGTGTATACATATGTATTGGGTCTCTTTGCTCGATTGCAGTGTAGTGTTTAGGATGAGGGTACATTACTTCGTTGGTGAGATCATGCGCTACCTAGGCTGCGACTCACGTGACTGGGTCGTTGCCTTCCCAAGCTCTTGTGTGGACGATACTTCTCTTTTCGAGAGGACCTGATTGGATGGGTACATATGGATTTCGGAAGTTGTGAGTCGCTCGGCGTCGCGTCACCGCAGTACCATGGATTGCCTTCCCAAAGATGAGGAAGGTACTACCTACTTAAAGCATTCTCCTACCAATTGACACGAACCCTCAAAGATCTTTTCCTTTAAACTTCGCAAATACAACCCTCAAGAATACCCAGATACCCTACATTACATCTCTCAAAACCGCGGCAACCCATACCCAGTCCGCCGCGTACAATGGATGACGTTTCCGTCCCCAACCGACAGTCGCAGTCCAAACTGTTCTCACTTCCCTCCGAACTGCGCAATCTAGTGTATGGCTACTACCTTACAGCTCCGGGCGGGTATCATTACCGTTATGAGACGAACAGACTGACCGAGATGGACGGCACTCCCATCGACCTTGAGTTCTTGTATACCTGCAAATTTGCTGCTGCAGAAATGCACGGTCTCATATTCACCCTCAACACCGTCAAGTTCTCTACGTTTTACAACGAAGCTACATCAGATCATGCAGGACAGTATCACTACATGCAGCTTAGGGATGAAGGCAGCAGGTCACGCCTACTACGAGCGTTCCGTGGATGCATCGACCAAGACAGCTGCAACAAATTGGAGGCAGACTTTCCACAATTCCTACCCGTCATCAGACAACTTCGCGGCATGGGAGTGATCAGTGTCGATGGTCTTGCCGATGACTCCTGGGGTGAAGCTCCGTCGCTCTATCGCCGATTCGTCATACGGGCTTTAGAGGCCCTTCTTGAAGATGCTGATTGGAACATGGAAGGCTCGAACCACAAAACCATTGAGGTTGTCTCACTGCAACATTCACCTTGGCTTATACCGGACAGCAACGACATAGCTGATATCAGGCGCAGTCTGCAGCATAACTTACACCTTCTCCAAAGCCTGCAACGAACTAAATACAGTTTCTCCGCGGCATCGGCCGCAACCCGCTTCTTCTCGTCAATGCCTGCATCTATACGATGCCGCTTTCGTCGCGTGCTCTTGGATGAGAACCACGTAGCTGCTGCTTGGCCCGAGTGCCATGTCCAAGGCTTGCTTCCCTACTGTCAAGAGAATGGAGCACTTCGAATAGAACGACGGGTGGATTTGTGGAGAAACGCGCTTCCTGCCGGTGCTTCCAGAATGAACGGCTTTTATTGTGGCCAAGGTCGTTTGCGTCCGCTGCGTGCTGAGTATATCACCAGATCGTGCTTAGCACCATGGATCATGGAGGCGCTTGCCCTTGACAATCTAGGCATGCCACCTCAATGCTTCAAGTTGGTGTTCAACGGGCAGCCAATACCTGAGAGAAGCGCCGAAGTGTTCAAGATCGTGCAACGAGATGCCGCATGGCAGACGGTATTCGAAGAGCATCGCGCAGATCAACACAACAAGATGAGCTGGTTCGAAACGAGGCGCAACGCCAGCTATCAGATGAGAGGATTTCCGGAAGCTCTCGCTGCGATTGCTGACGACTCGTCCATCGTGAGCTGTAACTTCAGTCTCACTAGTTTCGATTACTCGTCTTCCATAAGACAGGCTGCTCAGGGATGGTCGATGAAGGAATGGGAGGAGCAATGGAGTAAGCACGAACCTCGTACCTTTGATGCCCAGGCGCCATGAAGATGGGGGTTTGCCTCGGTGGAATTTGAGTGAACTTATCAGCGACCGAGGGCTTCGCTAAACGTGCGAACGAAGTCGTTGGAGTACAGGTTCGGGCCTCGTGGGTAACAGCATTGCGCAAAAAGGCGCGAGCATCTCATTCCGCATTCATCTAGTTTTTCAAGTGACAGTCGCAAGCTGTGGTAATGTATAGGATGAATACCCAATACGTAGAGGGCGGCTTTGAGTAACATTGCTGATGATATATATGAGAACGAAGCGTCGAACTGTTAGTGCTAGTACTGCCATAGGCGTCTTTGTGTAACTCATCACTTAAAAGATTGCATCTAAGTAACGAATGACAACGACTTCTCGCAGAGAAGCCCTGCATGACTGCCGTGAGCCCATTGTCATGAATGTAAAGAATAAGAAGCTCTCCAACTTGGGCTGCCGGGAAGCGAGTGCGGCACCCGTTCGGGGGAAAGTATAAATAAGTGCCTTGCAGTCTACATTGGGTTGAAAATGTGTTTTCGTGAAAACGTAATGCAACGTAACCTTTACATCTGTTTTTTTGTAAGGTGGCGGCAACCCGGAAGGTCGCGATCGTGACGTGCAAGCATAGGGGTTCACCTAAGCTAGCTACCTCGGCAGCTACATAGCGTCTTGGCGCTCATGAACCGGCGATTGTCGCAATGCTTCTCCTTGATGACGGTTCAATGCCTCTCTTTCTTTGAGGCCGCGCCAGCGAAATTGACGAAGGCGGCTTTCTACAACCACTGCGTACCTGCTACGCTGTAAAACTCCGGAAACTCTGGGGCATGGTATCATTGTTGCGAGCTACTGCCATTTCTCGGTCCCAGAGTTGAATTTCCCGGGCTGTTAGTCGCTGCACCTCCTCCGCTATCACCTGGGAGATCGAGAACAAGTCTGCGACGATAGGTTTACTTTCAGTACCATGGCACGACGTTTCCGTACCTACTAGCGCGAAGAGCAAGTCCACATTTTCAATGTCACGTGCACAGAGTGTTGCCTATCGCTGCCCAGGTACAAAGTCGCAGCTTTGTCGCCCTTGGCTCATCTTCCATCTTCACATCCTTTTTTCTCCCCCATCAACCGCTTGCTCAATAGCGACATGGCCGAACCGCAAGGCTTCCTCAAGCTTCCCCGCGAACTGCGCGATCAAATTTACGAAGACTACTTCACGCTTGAAGATGGGTACCATTACAACCACAAGACGAACAAGCTGCTCAAAGCGAAGGCTGAGGTGATTGACCTCGATCTTAGGCTTGCATGCCGTCAAGTGGCAGCTGAGACCCGTGGTCTTGCTCTAAAGCTGAATACGATCAACTTCTCGACCGTGTGCGACGAAAACTTTTGCCAACGGGCTGGCCGATTCAACGCGATCCAGATAATCATCAACCAACTCAAGGCAAAGTATCTGCTATGGCACGCTCCGTGGACTGGTCTCATCGATAGCGCAATATGCGACTACGTGGAAAAATACCATTCGGCGTTTTTGCCCACCATTCAGACAATGCAGTGTTTTGGACGCAATGGAATTGGTCGTAACGTCGATGAATGGAAGGAGATCCCGTCACAAACCCGACATTTCATCGCGTCCACATTGGAAGCCATTGCGGCAAAACCCGATTTCGAAGACGCCGTCAGTCGGGACCGACATTGGAAGGGGTCCGCATACACGCCAAGTCCCGATCCGGTGCCTGTGGTAGCGTACAGTCATCCACCATGGATGTTCCCAAGTGAGGACGACATTTCCGATATGCTCGAACTCATAGAACCTGTACCCGTCAAGGCCAGCCGGTCCAAACCGTGGCTATATTGGGACCAAGAACAATATAGGTTCTCGGCAGCGACTGCAGCCATCCGCTTCCTGGAGTCTATGCCGGCTGAAACGCGACTGGCAATGCGCAATCTAGTGCTACACGAAGATCATGAGTCTGTCGCATGGCCTGAGTGCCATGGTCAGGGCTTGATACCATTCTGCCAAGAGAATTCTGACTTGCATATAGAACGTCGAATCAGCCTTTGGAGAACTATCCTACCTGCCGCCTCCATATCGCTGTGCGAATTGCAGTCCCAAACGCTCGAAGATGTGCAACAATGGAAATACGACCGCTTGACGGCGCAGATGATCAGTCAGGGATACATGGGCGATAATGGGGCTGCTGCCTGGATAATGGAAGCGCTTGCACTTGCGTCTCTAGGCATGCCGGCAGGTGCCTTCAGCCTAGTCATAGACGGGATGCCGACGCCCGAGACCTCGGCGCAAGTCTTTAATGTCCTACAACGAGACGCCGCATGGCAATCCGCGTATCAGCAATGCGTCAAAGCCCCTGATTCACAGTCATGCCAACTCAACTGGATAATGATTCGAGAGAATGCTGCATTCATCATGAGGGGCTTTCCAGAGGCTTTGCAAGAGATATGTTCCGGCAAGTCACTGGTGAGATGCAACTTCGACACTGGCTATGCACACGATGTGGACCAAATTGTTGCACAAGGACGTACGTGGACATTGAGAGAATGGCGGCAAAATTGGCATTCTACCGGGCAACTTCAAGCCGACATTCATACCATGGCGCCATTGCCTAGCTGGCTTGAGATTCGGCAAGAGAAACTTCTGGGACGCACAGGCAGCGATTGAATACCAGCATGTTCTTTATTCTACGTCGGATTTGTGTGGAGTAGGATTTGCTGTCTGCAGTCTCCAGGGGAAGCTCAGTAGGCTTTCTAGTGTTCATAGTGTTCCATGCAAGATTTACGATTGTAGAGGTGACTTTAAGTAACAACTCTACGAGTACTTGTGATCTCTCGAGCCGAGCCAAGCCAACAACAATACCATGTAAGATGCCTTTTCAAACCCACCACGCCGAGTCTCATCCTGCCGACTAACAATCCCTTCCACTGCTCTCATTCATCGCATCCGTTCGCCGTCCCTGTTCCATTATCGCTTCGCATCCCTCTGTCGCGCACTTTCACCTCTCCTGTCTTTCAATTCCACGAGGTTGTCTCCTATGTCGAATCACTCAGTCTCCTGCATATCTCCAGCGTCGTCTTCAATACCGCCGACCCCCAGGGGTGTTACCGGAATTTCTACTATTATATGGTCGTTCGGATACCCCGGCACATCGGTGATAATCGGGTAGTTCGGTGTTTGGGATGCCTGCGTGTTTGATACGAATGTCAGATCGAGGGACGCCATAGATGACGGCCACTGATTGTTGATCTTCTGACGCCTAGCGCTCCATTGCTCCTTCCACTTGTCCAATGACCAGTGTACATGGCTCGTCGGCACTTCTGTCTTGCCAGGCAGCCTTCCGATGGGGAAATTGCACTTGGCAAGTGATGTTCCGCTGGCGATGTCCCGCATGGCCTGAGGAAAACCAGCCATGATGAAAGCCTGGCATGTTCGGACGGTGGCTGGTTCGAGATGACCATACTGAGTGGCCCATGTACACTTTTCGAGCGCATCTTGCCAGGCTGCATCTTTCAGGGCAACCTTGAAGATCTGGGACGCGAGCGATGGGTTCATATCGCCAGTGAACGTTAATTTGAATGCACGTTGGGGCATACCCAGATCTAGCAACGCAACTGCTTCCATAAGCCAGCGAGCAATGTACTGACTACTTGTGGTCGCCATTACATTCCACGACGTCTTGAACATAATTTTTCCATATATCGATTCGGCGATCGATGCGCAAATTTCCGTTCTCTCGGCAGAAAGGTATGAGCCCTCGAGCGTGACACTCAGGCCATGCGATGGAGTCGTCGTCTTCGTCCAGTACAATCCATCGTATCTTCTTCCTGGCTTCTGGGCGAAGACGCTTCATATATCCGATAGCAACGGCAGCACCTGAAAACCGCCTATTGCGTTCTGCGAAGAACTCGTTCATGCCGTATGCAGAGCGGGCATATGGTCGCAGCTCGTCTGCATTCCTTTGCAGCTCGTCGAGTTCGTCGTCGGTGGGAATCAGCCACGGCTCGACTGCTGAGCCTTGTGAAGTTTTCAAAAGCCTTTTCAGATAGATGTGCGGCATTTCCGGCGGGTCTGTTGCCGAGCCTGGGCAAAACCGGGGCCTTATGGTATCCAGTGTTGATGCAATGAAATCGCGGGTGATAGAAGGGACTTCCTTCCACTGTTCTCTATACCTGTCGACATCCGTGTCACGCAATGTCTTTGCATGATCAAGGAGGGGTAGAAACTGGGCGTAGTTTTTTCGAACGTAGTCACGAGCAGCGTCGTCATACCAATCTGACCATGTGAGCAGTCTTCGTAAAGCTCTGTCTCGCGTATTGGATAGCTCGGTGAGGAGGTGACGGATCTGCGAGTAATTGGGCTTCGTCATAGGTAACGCAACCGTGTTGAAATGTATCTCGTTGTATTTGACCACGAAATCGCGCGTTTCTTGCGCGATGAGCTTGTTTACTGTCGCGAGTGCCATTGCGTTCTTTTCCTGATGCGATGCGACAAATTTGTTGGTCGCTGGGTTATAAGTGTAGCCATCTTCAAGCCTGAAATAGTATCCATAAATCTCTTCTCGGAGTTCTGCGGGCAGGCCAACAATGCCCTGCTTTGCCAGCACTGAAACGTGATTGATTTCGTGAGCCATGGTGGTCGTAGGTCGCGGAGGGTCGGAGAATGCGTTGCGATGGTGAAGTTGCGGAGAGGCGAGGCAGCTCGGCAAGATGCGATCATTGATGTGGGGTCGTATCTCATAACTAGCGGGACGCTACGGTGGCATTTAACGAGGTTGGGGAGCGGGCTCCTCACCTACAATTCCGGTCCAAAACTTACCGGGTCCACAGCCAAAAATCATGTCTGATGCAGACGACGGTGTCAAAGCGTCGGATTCGCTCTCCAATAGCTACCTCGGCAGGCTACCACAGGAGTTGCGAGACGAGGTTTACAAGCATTACTTCACGGCGCGTGGTGGCTATCTCATCGATCCCACCAGGAACACCCTGCGTGCAGTTGATGGAAATCCCATTAATCTGTCATTGAGATTAACATGCCACGCGATCGCGAAAGAGACGGAAGGGTTAGCGCTCCAATACAACACCATCCACGCCACGACTACCGAAGAGAAGCCCTTCATAACAGCAGCTTACCACTTGTTGAGAGTAGCAAAAGGGCATTCCTTCGATTATCACAGGGCTCTGGTGAAGCTCTCTAGATACATTACCCCAAGTATAGCCGATGAGATCCTGGAAGGGTTCCCTCAGTATAGGGACGCGCTGCAGGAGTTGATAGCAAACAGAAATAGGGAGGGGCCAGGTAGGGAACACATGCGCTGCACCCCTCCCACAGCTACGGAGGCCTGGTCTACGGAGCTGAAGTTCGTCTCTCGCGCCGTGAAGATAATGAACGAGCGCTTGGATATCCCCGGATCACTATACAGTGCTCTAAGCCGTCTGCATTTGTTGTCGCTATCAAACACCGATCCGGAGCAGCAACCGCTGTGTTGGGAGTTTCAGAGGAAAACGAGCCCTTTCGAAATCGTTTTCAGTCGGATCGATGGAAGACCTGTTATGAATGAAGATAAACCGTCATCCTACTTTTCCGCAGCGGCCGTAGCAATACGATTCTGGAACGCCCTCGACCCGACGACCCGCAGGCAAATCCGACGATTCGATATCGAGGAGGATAGGCGCTCCAGATTCTTCCCCATGTGCCATGCGGAGGGCTTCATCCCGTTGTGGCGAGAGAACCCCAAGCTTCGCATCAATCGTCGCGTCAATCTCATGAATACTATTGTCGAAGAAGCTCGTCAACCTGATAGACGGGCTTGGCATCGGGAGCACGCGCATCATGCAGACAGTAGGTGTTGTGGAAGCTCAAAGCTCAAAATTCAGGCTGACAGTCGCACAGAACTAAAGACACTTTGGGATTGGATCGCCGAGTTCAAAGCAGTACATGCGGCATTTGACATACCTAAGGGGGATTTAAGCCTCACCTTTTACTCTGACGCGTCGCCTGAAGACACTAAAGAGATAGTTGATGTTATGCAAGAAGCGGCGGCCTGGCAGATGGCGCTCGACAAAGTAGCGAAGAGCGGAAACGCAGGTAACACGCATGCTCTTGGGTTCAACTACTCTGATTACCTTTGGGACCCACGCGGGCTAGCGTGGCAGGAGTTGCAGGATATATCAAAGGGTTCCTCGGTGATCAAGTGCGACTTTGATATGGGTCAGTCTGTGGATCCAAAGGACTTGTACGATGGCAGTGGTCGCTGGCCGCATGAGAGATGGAATAGCCACTGTGTCGTGAATGACTCCAATAGTTGGCGGCTTACGTGGCAAGTACGATAACATCTATCGGTCGCATTCCACGATATTAATGAAGAAGATCGCTGCCAGGCAAACAAGTATCGACAAATACAACATCTTCAATTATCATTCCGACAGAGCAGATATCATGCCACTTATATAACACATCCCATATCAAACTACCCTACGACCCCCCAAACCCCTTCTTCAACCCCCTCAGCCAAATACCCGCCGCATACGCCCCCGGATCAGGAATCTTACTCCTCTCACTCCCATCCTCACTAATATACGTCGCACGCCCAAACTTGGCCTTCATATCCTTCGTACTATCCGCCTTCTTCTCCGCGACATCCACACTCTTGCTCAAATCCTTGCTCTCAGCCAACGTGTTGATAAACGGAATGAGAACGTCCATGACCGTTCTATCACCCTCCCGTGCACTGGTATAGTTCTTGAGGTTCTCGAGAGCGGCGGATGCGGAGGAAGCGAGGGTCGAAATATCCAGCGGAGCGTTTTGGGAGAGAGTGGCTTTTGATAAAGCGTTTGTGAAGGCGGTGACGAGGATAGAGAGGATGGCGCCGAGGGAGCCGCCGACGTCTTCGACGTTTTCGCCTATGCTTTCAAGGAGGGCGAGGATGGGTGGTGGACTGCTTTCTACGGCGTCGATGTTGGCGAGGATGGATTTGCAGACGCCGGCTACGGCTTCGCCGCAGTCGCCGTCGCCCATTTGCAGGTCATATTGTGTGATTGTGGGCTCGGCTGCGAGGGCGTCTTTGCAGGCTTGACGGAGCGCGGGGATGAGGGATGCTGGTGTGGCGGGGCCCTTGTGGAGGAGGGATTTGTCGGCCGCGGCGGCGTTGGCTTTGTTGCGGAGCTCTTCGGTTTCCTTGTTGATGTTGAGGGGTTGGTAGCCGTTCTTTGGCCATGCTGGGGCGTTTGTGGGTGCGTCCAGTAACTCCATGACGTCCTCGTCTTTGAGATCCATAGCCTTTGCCATTCCGCTCATGTTGCCAAGTGTGATGCTGAAGCCTTGGGCGTTGAGCGATGTTTCCAACACGCCGGCGTAGATGCGTGTTGGTACGATCTTCCAGTCGCGCTTCAGGGCTATCAGGGCGAGGTTCACCAGGGCGTCGAATTCGAGGTTCGATAGGCCGCCGAAGTTGTTGACGAGCATGACGACGTTATCGTTGGGGTTGAAGGTGACGAATGCGCGGTCGGAGTCGGAGGGGTCGAGGAGGTAGCGGAGCATCTCTTTGATCACGTCTTCGGGACTGGGCATCGGGGATATGGTTCGTAGACCCTGGGGAAGTCAGTTTGCGGCTTTAAGGTTGCTGGGTATGAGATAGCAAAACTTACAGGCTCGTTATGAATACCCATACCAACCACACAAGCATCGTCCTGCACGCTCTCGAATGCCTCCCGACCTGGTACATGACAATGATCCAGACTGGTGCCAATGGTAACCAGCTGCGAGTTACCCAACTCGCCAATCTTCCGACACCGCTCGAAAGCCCAGCCTTTCTGTGATGCGGCACCAGCAAGCTTGATGACCAACAGGTTACCAGCCAATCCTCTCCTTCCAACCTTGCCGCTCTTCTCGCGACCCAAGGCAGCGTCTTCCGCCATGCACACAACATCGACTTTGTATCCTAGTGCTTGTCCCTTCTCTCTGGCAAGACCAAAATGCAGCATGTCTCCTGTGTAGTTCGTGATACACAATATGACGCCCTCGTTACTCGGCACGTTCCGTATTCCAGCCATGATCTGCTTGGTGCTGGGAGAAGCGAAGATGTCACCGCATACAGCAGCTGACAGCATGCCGTCGCCAACGAAGCCGGACCATGCCGGCTCGTGCCCTGAGCCTCCACCGGATACGATGGTGACTTGATGCGGAGGGTGTGAGAGGTTGTAAACGACGCGGTTGGCCTCATCGAGCGCCATGTGGGAGTTGCGTGTGCATAGTGAGCGCAGGTTGTGGAGGACCACGCCTTCTGGGTTGGGGAAGAAATGCTTTCTTGACATTGTAGCGGTTCGTATGGATATGTGTAGTACTTGAAAGTCTGAAGGTTGTCAGCGACTGTAATGTGTTTGACGACCATAGTGTGAAGCCGGAGATTGCTGGAGAACATACCTCAATTCAATCACGTATGCCAACGTGTACACAACTCGAAAATAGCGGAATTGGATCCAAGAAATCAAGACACGCGGCGTACCGCCAATTCAGCCGGGCATCGTGCCTTTTAAACAAGTCCCCCGCATCCCCCGCCTCGATCAACATCATGACCATGAACCCCGCTCGTGGGCACCCCGTCAACTCAATTTTTCGGTGACAGGTATTCAACACGCGTCTAGAAGCCTAAATACGCGCTCAAATTAGCCCGAAACGATGTCAGAATGATATGCTAGGCTTGGGTATACTGCATTCAGACAAGTGGGCTGGTGGAAGCTGGGGAGAGGGTCGTGTTTGCGCCGGGGTTGCCGCTTTGGGGATGCCGGGCGGAAGCTTGGCTTTTGTGGAGGAAGCTCGCATCGGTCGGAGCTCCGAGAGCTATTGGGTCGGTGTCTCGCGACGAGACGCTTGCAGTACCTGGAGTATCCGCGCGGTTTGTAGGATTTGCGACCTCGCGGAATAAATCTGGGCTTTTTAGGACACGCGTGCAAGCCTGTCAAAATTGGATTTCGAGTATGCAGGCGAGCTGATCGTATTGATATCATCGCAAAAGGAAGCGGGCTATGATCGCTCCCTCCTCAGTACCTGCAAATCGACGGAGTGCCTCACTCACAACTCTCCGTTATCCAGTGCCCACACATCATGACAAGAAGCCGAACAATCCCTTCAGGAAAAGCCAGACCCCCATCAAGATCATGACTTTCTCGTCAAGCATGATCATATAGCCACACATGATCTTCTAGTCAAACATGATCTTCTTGCCCTTCAACAGTGTGCCACCGAGCAGTTTGCCAACTGCGTATCCAATGTAAGCGCCGGTAACGATAGTGACGGGCCACTTCTGCCATTCGCGGTCCCTGCGTTTCGTTAGCTATGCCCGTTGCGTATACGTTGTCGAAGCCAGTCTCAACGCTGGAGTCGGTCAAGTACTCACCAATCTAAGGGGATAGGTACAGCGCCCAGCCATGCACCAAGCACGGTACCAATTAGCCCTCCGTATACTTCATCCATCGGCATAAGTAGCGCGATGATCTGCCTCCAAGTCTCGCCGTCTACACCGTGTACGTATACCAGGGGAAGTGTGCTGAGCAGCGCGATGTGGGCACCAGCGAGGAGGGTGTGCATGTGATGCGTGGTGGCAGGCGCGCCGAAGAGAACGAGGGTCGCGGTGAGGAGCGGTGTTGCGGCGAGCGTGGTAAGGAGGAGTGATAAGAATGCCGGCTGTGTATCGTATAGTCAGTAACGTCTCCTTCTAGTTGGCTGTCGCAAGTCCAATGTAGGCTGTACGAGTGGACGTGTAAACGTACGACAATCTTCGAGTTGAGCCCCTGCTCCAGCTTGCCCGGTGCCTTCCCCTTCTTCTCACCAGGCTTCTTGTTCTTTAAGGAAGGCGTGCCTCCTGTCGGGGGCAGACATACTGCTACAAAGGCAATTTGCAGCACGGCGAGCGGCGCCAGAGTGGAAAGGAGCGTCGGCACCGGGTCCGCGACCAATGCAGGAAACTTGAAGGCATACACCGAAAGCACCAGTATAGGGTGAATGTGTGTGTAAAGACGTGCCGTGTCGTTCTTCAATGGCTCGATTGGCGGCGCCGTGGAGGGTTGAACCTTTGACGTCGCGTTGGCGTTGATGACAGTTGTGCTGGCCATGTCTACGAGTGAGATGGAGAACAACGATGCACGCTGCTGTCAACTTGATGAATGTGTCAATTGGCGACGCAACGTAGTGTGAGCGGCGTCTAAAGGAGCGGAAGTGGCGCCTGGCCTGTTGGATTGCTGCAGTCGCGGGTGTTGCGGAGGAATGTCGCGCATCGGAAAGTTTCGTGATGATGTCCGTGCTGTTCGCTCATTGGACAGATAGCAGACCATCACTCGAGCACCTCCATGGTTTGTGAGACATGGTAAACACATGTGAACTGTGATAAGATTCGTTGACTGCTCATAAGCCTTGATAATCTCTTCGTGTATCCCGTAGTGTGTTCCTCGCGTGACGTGCATTTCGGTCGTAGCATTCCTTCCGCAGCACCTTACAGACATCTATTGCTTCTGCTCGCCCTTCTTCGGCAACAGGTTCCTCAAAGAAAGATCGTAGACCACGTCCTCCACGTCCTTAACCCTGTACTTCAGTCCGTCGCTACGGCGGCGCAAGCTGTCGTTCTTGAGATTGAGGATCTGGAAACCTGCGTGCAAGTCCTTGACGAACTGATTGATGAGAAGCGGACGCTCGTAATCACCGAGAGTGACGGCGTTACGTGCGAGACGTGTCTGTCATTGTCAGCGTTGATGCAGGTTGGAGCTGAGCAAGGCAACGAACCAGTTCTTCGACGAGCGTCATGAGAGAATGGAGGTACTCTTCGAGCGAGAGGTGGAACTCATCGCGGTCCTTGAGGTTCACGGGAACTGCGATGGTTAGCGATGCGCATGTGCACCAGGATCCTGAACATACTCTTGAAGATCTCGCCGAGCTCCTCGATGGTCAAGAGACGGCCGCACTGTACCTCGCCACCATCGTACTTGTAGCCGCCGAGCCAGCCCCAGAACAGAGCGCTCTCGCACTATCGTGTTGTTAGCATTGCGATGGCGATATCGTGTGATTGATGAGCTTACTGCGCCCTGCATCTGACGGCTCCACATGTTGTTGAACTTGTAATACGGCATCTTTGACGCAGCCTGCGACAGCTTGCCGACGGTGTCGATTACATTTTCGATAGGCTCTTGTGCAGCTTTGAGGATGTCGGGTACTGCTGTCTGATTAGTCGTGATGTCGTTGGACAGGCGAAGAGCGACTCACGCTCGTTGACCGGCGTCGAGTGGGCTCTCGACAGCACGAAAGAGACATTGCGGTCTAAGTGCTGTCAGCGTAGTTCAATACTCGTATTGGATACGCTTACTGTGCTTCTCAAGCGCCTGAATGATGTCGCGCAGCTCCTGTCGCGTTGTGAGTACGCTATCACGTGCAGCTCTATTGGCCGCCACTTACATCCCGGGTCGCAGTGTCTTCGTCTACGCGCGCCTGAAGATCTTGGAAGATGGCCGGATTGACCATGCCTGAATTCGCTGCCATCGTGACGTGTATTTCGGAATCGGGGTGTTGTTGCAAGAAAGTTCGTGTTGTGGGTTAAGCCGACGTTGTTTGTCACGGCAAGCTACGAAATTTCGGTCTCTCACTACTCACCACGCAAAGTTGCTTTTACTCAGCTGTAAGCGCATCAAATAGGCTAGGTGTTCTTTCCAGAGTAGCATCTTGACCGGACAGCGTGAGTGCACACTGAATGAGTTGAGCACAATTGTGCTACGGTTGGAATGCGGCGCTTTCAAGGGCAGGTAAGCATGCGTGCGCCACCACTGCTGTGCAACATACCGTGACTTCACTCAAAGCGCTTGTAAACGACATCGCATACACACGCTTCGTGTCATCGCAAAACTTTAGTCAGGGCTTGCTTTCAAGGGCGGGATGTAAATGGCCGCCACAGAGCACACAATACGAAATATAGTAATGCTCTCACGGTTATCTGGATGCAAATGACGGTTACAAAGGCCCTATTTCAGGCAAGGGATTATGCAATACTTAGAGATGCTTCATACGTCGCGTTCACGCAGTGAGTGTCACATCAACATGAACCTTGATAACATTCCGCTACAATCTCTTGATTTGATGGCGATGGTATCAAAGATCAAGTTCCAGTTCAAAGTCGCAATCAAACTTCTTCCTCAAGCGACTGGCAAGCCAGCAGTCTCAATGAAAAAGTCGCGTCGGCCAGAGGTAGTGAAATACTGGCGACACTGTGCCAAAGAAGGTGAGCAAGCCCAGAGCCTCTTCGACTGGTTTCAAAAATAGGAATAATCAAGAATTTCCTCGTAAGGAACTAAATCGATTGTTAGCAAGATGCTTGAGAAGGGCGTTGTTGGCGTTGGGATGGGCTTACGTTTCAGAGATTAAACTGAAAAGAACAGATACTACACTTGATCTAAGCCAAAAGGCAAAGAGAGCTAAGGAACAGAAGAGGAGGCAGAGGGAGCGTAGAAATATATACAGCTCATGGCCTTGGCGCGCTAGACGTCACGTGAGCCTCAGTAGCGTCGCACGCACCTCTTCTGCCTGATCTCGGGAGAACTCCGGCGTCCGGGCGCCTGCAAAACATTGCCGGTGATGGTGAGTCTCCAGGCTCCAGTATCACGCTTCACCTTTGCCTGCTCGGGCGCGTCGTACATCTTTGCGTAGCGGCTTCTAGACTCACTTTCACTGTCAGGATATGTCATCGACTTTGTGGCGAGATCCATCCCCGATGGCCATTACCTAGGTCTGTTTCGTCTGAGGATGGCTCTGCATGAGCGTAACGGGACGCGTCGCGAAATGACCTAATTATCCCGAGTTGGGTACAATGGCAGTATACGCAGTGCTTGAAGTAGCAGCCCCATGTAAGGACGGTGATGTATACGTCGGGGCAACATTTCATCTACACTTTGTCAAGAACAACCATCTTCGCATACGGGTACATTCACATTCGTCTATGCTGATAGCGCGGGAATAGCAATGCTGCCTGTAGAAGACGAGAACGCTCCGTCACCCTCTCGAACAGATGCATACCGCGAGGTGCTCCACGCTCCATGACACCATGTCTCTCCCACTGTAACACTACGGTTAAGCCTTCAATCCCTCCACATCTCGGCGAACCCGGTCCTTTCGCGCTTCCTTGATACATCACATCCTCTTCATTCCACTCGCCTTCTTCGTAAGCTTCGGCTTGCCACGAACCATCTTATACCTTATACTCAACTTGACGATGCGACGCTCCTTCTTTCCCGCACTCTTCGCGCGCGTCTGGCGGCCTTCCACCTCCTTCGACTCCGCTTCAACGGCAACGTTTGGCGCAATCATTGCAACTTGTTCACGAGCGTGAAACTCGCAGCTCAAGAACCTCGCCTCTTCGCAAAACCAGTGGAAACTTGGAGCGTAGCCGGCCTTTTTCGTGGTGTTGTATTCTCGACCTTCGATGAGCGGAACGTCGTCGTAGAGTAGTTGGGTCGCCCAGCTCTCGCCATCCCATCCGACTCTCATATTTAGCGCTGATATATCGATGCCTTCTTCCTTCACGCGTTCGTCGGCTAGCGAACTGGGCGTCATAAGGCCGGTTGCAGCGCACTCCGATGTGGCTGTCGCGCGGCGTATGCGCGGAGCGATGGCGTAGAGGAAGAGAGGGCTGCGTAACAGGAAGCAGAGGTCGTCTGATGCTCGCGATTAGTTTATTGCAGCAATACTGGCCTGGCTACTTACCAAGGAGTTGTGTCCGATCGTGCGACGGTAGTCTGCCCAACGAATCGTCGAGTGAGCTCTGGAGATGGCTACGCAACCTATCTTTGGGCTGCCCGAGACGGAGCCTTAGCTTCATCGTTGTGTTGGTAGGGGTAGCGGGTCTGTTCTTGGATTGCTGGTCGTCTTGGGGCTGTGTTGTATTCGTTTCCGTGGTAGCCCAGGGTGAGAAGTCACAAGGTCGTGAATGGTGAGGCTCCAGCGAGAGGTCATATAAGTCGAACCATACTTAGTAATGCTATCGCCGTGGACCGAGGACCGACTTTCTCTCACTCATCACCTGCTAAGACTCGTGCGCAGTGGTTAGTCTTCATAGGCCTGTTGATCGTTCCTCGGTGAAGGCGGCGTCGCCCGACCACCTGATAGATTGATTGACTAGGCTAAGCAGAAAACTACCGCCGTCGGAAAATTTACATCCAGTTCGAGTGCTATAAAGAGCCTTGTCACATCTTGACGCCCCAGATCACACCCACGACGTCTTTGGTATGGGAACTTGCGCTACTCGACAACCGCCTCTCCGGCCTCCTCCTCCTTCGCTATACGCCTTTCCTCGTCCTTCGCACGCTCCGCCTCATCCTTCTTACGCTTCTCTTCATCCATCTCACGATAACTCTCCGCCAGCCTATGCACCCTATCAAAAAGCGCAATCATTGCGTCCCTCTCACTCACGACCGACTGACCCTTCGCCAGCGTCCATTCACCAACCAGGAAGCGCGCAACATGACCCTCCCAACGAACCGCACCAGGAATCCAAGATTCCGGTTCCAATTCCCACTTGATTGTGATTGCGATAGACTTTTGGCCTTCTACCGTTGACGCATTGAACTGGGTTGGGAAATCAAAAGACTGCGCCATACTATCAAGTGAATCGTTGGAGTCGCCGCCGTCGACAAGGGTTGTTGCACCGGAATGGAGTTCTGCATCTTCGTCGTTCTGCGGGCCCTCCCATGGGTAGTGCTGTAGATGTTTTCTTCCCACGTCGAGAAGATAGATGATGTCCTCTTGACTTATGTTAGTCAATCACTTCCGATGGAAGAGGTGGCACTTACTACACCAAGGCTGGTACTCCGTATAACCGAAGACTCCTAGCTTCTTGTCCGCTATGACGTATCCGACCTGGTTCTTGAAGTTTGGGTCGCATTTCTTTTCGTCCATGATTACTGTAGTCTTGCTGTATTCTTTACGCGGAGAAAGTTACGGACTGGCTGGGAATGAGCATCTTATATGGTACATGCGTTTGACATCAAACTTCTTCAGCGATGTGGGCGACGTTCTGGCTTGCTACTCATTCGCAGCATGAGAGGTGGCTAGACACGTGTCGCATGTTGCTGCATACACGTCGCTAAGTCATGATCAGTAGCTACCTCTTAAGGTAATGTATACCTCTACCTTGAACACGGGTCTATAGAATGCGACACGAAGTTTAGCCACCCTTCATGGCAGCGGAAGATGGCCTAGCTAATCACGCCTTTCCGCATGTTTGCGAAAGCGGCTTTGAGCAATCGAGCTGCATGTTCACAACCTCTCGACAAGCATCACTCAGAGTCAGGCAGCTTTGGATGATTGATTGGTACCGTTAATAGTTGGGTACAAGCCTAGTATACATTATGATAGAGCATATGACAGCCAGCAACAGTCCCTCGCGGCCAAGAGGTGAAGCACAGGGCACTAGTAATACAGTCAGGCTATGATGACAGCCTCAAAACTCGCCATGAGCCACATCACTCATACTCTCGTGCCAAAGTTACGACCTTCTGGAACACATCAAGCAGCGCATCTGTCGGCGATGAGGTGCTCCTTCCCTTGGCCAACACATATCCGTCAACAACGATCAGAACAACACTGCCCTCAAAGACCGTCGCGCCACGGGAGTCCTTCTCCGCGCCCTCGTAGCGTCGGATATCTAACTTGTTGTCGCAGTCCTGGCGGTTCTTGGCGCTAAAGGCAGGGCGGCTGATGGAGTGCTCGAGTGATTCCGTCTGCCAGGCATGGTCGCGCATGAAGGTAGGGTTCGCGAGGAGAGTTTCAATGGCCTCTTCAACGTGTTAGCAAACATATCAACATGTTGAAGAGGGTGAGACGTACTGAGGAAAGGTGTGTAGTCTGAAGCGGTGAGAAGCGGGAGACCACGGTACTTCTGGTCCGCTAGCATCGTCTGGAAAGCGTGTCGTACTGGGTTGAAAGTCATGTTTGGAAGTTGTACTTGTTGGATTGGAGTGTAGATATTTGCGAGTTATGTTTCGGCGGGACCAGGGTTTTATGTAGTCGGCGGGGTGCTTGATCTGATGCCTTACTCATGTATTCGGCTTGTTGATCGTTTGCTGCTGTCACAATGGAAGATAGAACTTTGCCAAGTGTAGCGGTATCATCTCGCAGCATGAAGGCGATGTCACCGTGCCCGTGGAGACCCCCTTCTGGACGTTTGGCATAGTCCGTAAAACCCACATGCAGTGGCGCGCCACACTCACAGAATGAAGAACTCGCGAATCATCTTCTGATTTCCGTTCGCATCAAGGTCCCCAATCCATGCGGCTGGCAGAAATGTCGCGGAGAAGCCACCCTTTTCGTCCATCCCAGCCTTGATTATGCAATTCCATAATCTCGCTTCTTCTACCGGCCAGCCGGTGGTTTGGTCTACTTGGGCTTCTTCCAACTCGATCGCTCGTTTGGACACCGCCACATGTTGCCCCGCATCCCAAAGGCCCTCCCGTGGTGGGTTACGTTCTAGAAGCGCTACTGCCTTTCGTCGGGTAACGGGACAGCGGCATCGAGTTGCGACAAAATAGAGCTGAGGAATTATCGCAATGTCGAAAGTAAAGTGAGCGGTATTGGGGTTCGTGGGCGGCCTCGAGTCGATGATTGCTTGGGCATGATGCAGGATCTTCTTGAAGTGATCTAGATAGTTGTCGTATGTCTTCTCGATGACTGTTGCTGAGCATGATACGTAAACAAACGTCGTGTGATACGAAACCTTGAGGGCGTTCGCAGCCATTAATTCATCGTTCGAGAGCGCATGATACTTCTCGAAGCGCTGCATGTTCTCGTACCAGAGATGATGGCACGCCAACAGATTGTCGCGTTCTCGATACAGTTCAAGACTAGGATTCTGCCGAACGAGTGATCTTCTTCCCATAATATACAGATGAGTTATAGATGCATTGCGAAGCTCGAAGTAGGCCTGGTGCGCCTCGGAGAGACTCGCAAATGAGCGCTTGGAGTACGAAGCAGGCATCACTTGCAATATCTCCAAATCTTCCTGAATTCTGGCGCCATAGAGCAAAGCTTGCGCCATGCCGCGGGTGAAGATGGACATCAACTTGTCTTCTGTTGAGCTTCTCGAAGGTCCGGACCCGTCCAATGCTACCTTTGGGGGATACGTGGTTTGTAATGAGCCCCGATAGCTCGGTAGTGCCATGCGGGGCGCGTACACTAGTTTGAAGCCGTTCCTCAAATGGGTGAAGGCGGCATGGTAGTTGCCTTGGAGGAACTCAATGCAGACGAAAAGAAGACAGATAACGAGTCCAAGCTCCGGCGAGTAAGTGGCATCGCTCATTCGATTGACTAAGCAGCCAATCGACTTATTGTAATGAGATAACATGACCTTGCGCTCATGATTGGCAATGAAGCCCGCGCATGCATGCTTCATATCTCCAGGCTCGGCTTGGCAAAGAGCTCCTAGAGCTATCACGGCATGGCGAACGGCTGGTTCCGAGTGAGCCATCTGCAGTACGATGCGAGACCAGAATTCTTTGTCGAAGTTGGTGGAGAGTGCAGGGCAGGCGCAATGGTAGTAGAAGTCCAGATAGCGTGCACTATCTCCAAGGCCACTGAAGGCAGAGATGGCCTTCTGTGGATCGGAGGCTCGTCCATGAGTCCAGACATGAACTTGGAACTTCGCGTCGTTTGTAGTGTAACCATCGCATTTGCGGCCAGTACGCACACACCTTACAGCATTAGCTCACGGAATGATCCGCGAGAACGGGGAGTCAATGCTTACTTGAGACATTCTGGCTTCTTCTCATCACATTTGACGCGTCGCACTCTGGAATCGATGTGTCAGCCTTTTGTCATATGCAAAGGTGTCCGCTGCGTACTTGCACGTCTTGCAGCCTGTCTTCACTTTTGGAGCCCGTCTGCGGGCTTGGAAAGACGCCTCGCTCGTTGAAGACATCCTGGATGCATGCCAGAGATGGCGGTAAGAGTAAAGTGTGACTGCATGATGGAGACGCGTGAGTATGTCGGAGAGGATACGCGACGAAGGTGCGAGTGTGGCGGACGGAAGACGGCCAATCATGACATCAGCGCCCGGAAAGCATCACGTGCTTTTACGAGCCGACCAATCGTGAGATGTCGAACCCGTGGATGTCCGACCACCTCATCCAAGAAAAAAGCCGAACAGGCCTAGAGCCTACATCAACATTATATCTCCTAATTTGGATGTTTTTATGTTAATGTAGACTGTAACCACAAAAACGTAGGCTGCAGACCTGTTCAGTTTTTCCCTATGTTGACTTGCGACGACGTTGCAGATCAGGCGCGCAACGACTGGCATAGCGAAGAGTGCAGCATCCAGATGAGGCATTGTATCTTTTCATCGACGGGATATGTGGCTGTGCTTACATACAGCTATGTACATGCCCGCACGCTCCCATGCCAGCTACTGAGTCGAAACTACCTGAGATACCTATGTAGTTTACAAGATGTCGCCGCGCGGAGCCTACATCGACGCTACGCCTTGCCATTTGCTTCTCATTGTCGTATTGTAGGCTGCACGCTTCTTCAGGTTCTTCAGGATCTTCCTTGTCTGAGGAGCACCAACCGCACCAACATCTTTTTCCCACCGCTAGATGTTTGGAGATTTGGCGAGGATCATTGCATGCAACCCCAGAGCGGCCTTCTCAAAACCGTCCTTGGCCAATCCGTAGACCTCCTCGTCTACCAGCGGGTCATTCCCCTCCTTCTCGCAGAGGTCGCCCTTGAGAACGATTGTGGGGGCCCCAGTGCGGCCGCGTTCCGGATGAACGGCCAAACACATATAGCTACGTCTACCCTCATGTCCTATGAACATGCAGAGTTGCCAGAGTGACTGTATACCATTAGGACCGAAGATACCGTGTACACCAAGGTTTATGACATAGTCGGATAGATAGTCTAGAATTATCCCGAGTCAGCGGAGGAGAAACCATGTGTTGCAGCGGGGAAAGAGAACTTACAGACTAGACGATGCATTGCGTCCGGATTCTCCGCCCACCAGATAGCCAAGATATCTCGGAGGACCAGATATATGCGATCGTAGAGCATCTCGCGAGTGAGACGCTCAAGTGGCTCGCGATAGATCTGCGGCACATACGGTCCTGGTGATGGCTCTGGGGATGGCGACTTTGACTGCGTACCAATGACGGGCATGTGGCCTGTCAACGGAGCATACGGCGGGGATGGCGACTTCGACTGTGTACCGATGATGGGTATGTGACCTGTTGGCGGAGCATACGGCGGGGAAGGCGATTTCGACTGCGTACCAATGATGGGCAGGGGAGCTTTCGGCGGAGCATGCTGCGCGGTGGTGTGGAAAGGAGCGTACGCGGTCGGTGGTATAGCCATACGCGAAGGCTGGAAGCTGGGAACCCTCGGGGAAGGCGGTGATAGCTGGCGTACGGACGTGGTTGGAGACATGGACGGGGAGGCTAGACCGGGCGACGGAGAAGTTGAGTCGCCCCTTGGTCCAGTCGTGACGCGAAGAGGATTCTGCGCCTGGTAGTCGTGCAGTCGCGACACTGCGTCGTTGGCGGTGCGGGAGAAATCAGGAGGATAGTCGGCCATCGTGTGTGATATGCAGTTGAGACGGAACTTGTTCTTGGTAGAGGACGTCGGGTGTCAAGAGCGGCGACTCAGGACTTGAAAGCTCTCAGATCATCAGAGCAAGCGGTTGAAGGGAACAAGTGTGAGCGCGGTGATGCTAGTGGTAGTGATAATTCGTGGTCGCGCTCGCTGGGAAGAGATTTCAGGTGCAAAGTGATAGTGAAAGTGAGTGAAAACAAACTTACGCATTCTAAAGACTGCCTGGCCGTATAGGTATATCCAATTGACATGCCGATCATGAAATGCTACACTACGGTTCAAGTGTATACCCAAAGGTTCAGCTACCCTGGCATAGGGGCGCTTCTTGCGGAATGCTAACGCCTGGTCTAACAAGACACGGTTTTACGAATCGTCCAGAGACTTGAGCGGGGCAACCCATCGACTTTCCTAGTACCAGCTATCATCAGGCGGGTTTGTCCAGGTACTCCATTGGCCAATACGGCAACAGCGGTGGCCTCGACAACGACAGCGACGTCGACAGCGTTCTCGGCAATGACGAGGACATAACCTTTGCGAACATCGTACCCCAAATCGCCACTGGCGATTTCGATGTCAACGGCATATGTGATGAGAACGATAGCTCAAGCGATAGCTTGTTCAGCGACGACGAACAAGAGAGCAGAGGAGCAATAAGGTCCGCCGCTGATCTGGCGATACGACATCGTGATCTCATTGCAAACGACCGGGTACCTGCAGGAGTACAGCCTGGACAGCCTACTAGGGAAGGATTCAACAATATGGCGCCATTAAAACATGTGGCTACATTCTCGACTATCAACACTGTCAACGATCATAGTATTATCACCCTGTCGGATGTTGGAACCTCTCTACTGGCACCGAATGGTATCGGGAAGAACCCTGTCTCCCTTTACATGCATTACTGCAGGAATAGATCAGTCAACGGCTGTGACTTGGTGACTAAAGGCGCCGACCACCTAAGTCAGCACCACAAGAAAGGCGACCCAAATGTTGACATGTCCGCCAAGAAACACAGGGTTCCGAAGGCAGCGAAACCACTAAAGCCTAGTAGACCACCTGGAGCGTTCCCTTGTCCCCGAGCCGGATGCGAGAAGACTTGCACGACGAGCACTAACCTCACACGCCACGTAAGGTCACATGACTGGGAAGATAACGTTTGTCCCTACGGATGTAACGCCAGCAAATACTACACATCGGAGTATGCGCTGTACAGTCACTTCAAGTCCGCACATCCCAACAACTGGTCGCTCACTCGGTGTCCCGCTCTTGGCTGTACATCGAACCGTATGTGGAAGAATTTGGCGGCGCTTGAAGAGCACTTCAAGAAGAAGCATCCGGATGTGATCAGCGACGCTGAGAGGAACACGTTGATAGAGCGTTGTCAAGGAGGGGTTATGTGAAAACCGCCATTGGCGATTGCAGTTCAAAAGCATCAATGGTCCTCGATTTGCTTGCCAGATAGAGATAGGGTGGGTTGTGCTGCTGCGGCGCTTTCTACGCAACCCCAGAAAGCTCTAGCTAGAACAAGACGCGTCTACAAAAAGACACTGTAGTTAAGTTTAGACAGTTAATATTGCTATACAAGCGAATAAGGTTCTCACAAACATGAAACGGTGAATGTACAACGTTTTATGTGAAGATAGTATTTCAAGACTGTGTTCACAAGACGCAAAAACACTTGCAGTCTATCTACCTAGGTAGGTATGTAAGCAAGAAACTGAACAGATGCGCTGCAGCCTACATCAGTATCAAAACTGAAAATCAACAGTATGCTGAGACAATGTAGACATCCAGATCATGAACAGGTGCCATGTTGATCAAGTGTAGATCCAAGAAGTTAAGCTATACAATGCGGTTCTAGCAGAATGTTGACGCCTGTTCCGACAGAACACGATTTTACAGATTCACCTCATTTAAGAGAAAACGTGGACACCGTGGAGCCTACATCAACATTCGAAGATACAAAGTATGTAAATCAACGTCAATGTAGGCTCTAGGGTGTCTAGACTTTCCTTGAATGAGGTGAATTGCCCTACGACCCGAGCGGCGCAACGAATTTAGTTTCCAAGTACCAGCTTCCATCAGGCGGGTTTGTCGATGTGTCCTATCGATCTTAAACCACGTATGCACAAATCGCGTGCTCTGCAACCTACATTAGCGATAAAATCAAGAAATGACAGAACCCTGAGGCAATGTAGACATCTAGGGTATCTACTTCACCGAGGGGTGCTCGAGCATGCTCTCTTATGTGCCACTACGAGCCGCTGCGGTCTCTTCTATTGGCATGGTAGGTTATGGACAGGGGTGATTTTATTCCATAAGGACGTTGACAAAAGAGGAGGATCGCGACTTTGGTGCGAGTGGCGGCATCACGAGGTTGTATCGTTTCGTTGCCCGGAGAAAATCGTGGAGACGCAAATAGCACGGACTAGTCTGGATGTGGATACGACCTGCAGGGTGGGCCTAGTGCGGCTCGGGAAGTGTCAACAGTGCGCATTCACTCCTGACAACCGCCCCCATAGTATCCCTGACCCTCGTCGCACCCCACCGCGCCTTCTCTCGTTTCTGTTTACCTTGCGGACATTCACTCGCTAATCGTCCGCACCTTCCTCCGCTATCACACTTCACTCACTTACCGTCGTCGACACCAAGCTACCGCCGCACACCGCGCCAGACCCGCCGCAACCCGAGCGACACCACACGTTTCGTAATCCG